CCACCTGGGCGCCTGCTGCCCGCTTCCGTCCCACCTTTGCCAGCCGCGTGCGCCCCGGACATTTTGTGCTGGTGGCAGCGGTGGGGGGGGGCTTGCAGCCCGCCGAGGTGGTGGGGGTGCGGAACCGGAGGGACGTGGGAGCCTATGCCCCACTGACACGCCATGGGACACTGGTGGTGGACGGCATGGTGGCCTCGTGCTTCGCCCTGGTGCAGGAGCAACATCTGGCACAGCTGGCCTTCTGGCCACTCCGGCTCTACCACAGCCTGGTGGGGTGGCCAGGGGCGCAGGGGGATGGCGTGCACTGGTACTCGGGGCTGCTCTACCGCCTGGGCAGGCTGCTCTTGCCCCCCGACAGCTTCCACCCACTGGGGGTACCCTGGGCAGAGAGCTGAGTGTGCGCCCCAGCCGGCACTGCTGGTGGAGGTGGTGGCTGCGGGGCAGCTCACCGGGGGCCAGCACCCCCTCCCAAAGCTGGGTGCCCATGGGGAGCTGCCTCCAGCCCTGCCTGCTCGGGGCACAGCCACCTCCCAGTTGGGGGGCACCGGGGCTCCCCGGTGTGCGTCCTCCATGCTCACCGCCCCCTCCTCACGTCCTGTTCCTGGGGGCAGGAGTGAGGCACGAAGGGTCTCCCCCGGACATGGGGGTGCCCCTGGCTGGATCCACATGCTGCTATTTGTGTGTGTGCGTGATGTGCGTGTGCGTGTGCAGAATTAGCCAACATCAGAGGTCTGATAGACAAGGGGGAGCGGGAAGAGGAGAGAGCCCCTGGCTGCAGGCTGCTCCTGCGGGGCTCCCAGCCTGCCTGCACCCAGTGGGGAGGCTTTGGGAGGGGGGCCCAGGGCCCTTTGCTAGGCAGGCTGGGTGGGAGGGCGGGAGATGCTATTCCCCCCTGGATGTGTCAGCTGGGAGGAGGGTGACCCAGGTACTGGGACTGTGCCTTGCCTTTAGCCCTGACTGCGGGTGCAGGGGGGCACCCAAAACCAGCCCCTGTATGCCTGGGGTGCCCAAGCACAGGCAGGGCTGGAGGGGCTGGCACAGCTCTGGCACAAGACCCCTGACTTGGTGACACAAGTGTTGCTGGAGTGAGAGACTGGGGAGCGGGACCCCGAGCTCTGCCCAAAGCCAGCATGGTAGCCACCCAGCCGGGCATGCCCGTGGGGATGCTGTGACAGCACAGGGGGCTCTGGCTGGCAAGAGGGGGCTGCGGAGGCAGGTGTGCGGGCAGGAGGGTGCAAGTGCCAGCCAGGCATGGGCACGCACTGGTGGGAGCAGGGGTAGGGAGAGCTGGGGCTGCAGCCCCAGCCTGCTGGAGTTGGGGGAAGGAAAGCAGCTGGGGAGAAAGCGCTCCCTCCCTTGCCTTCCCGGCATCCTGCCCTGAGCTGGCTCAGCCCAAAGCCATGCCTTTCCCACCCCAAAGCTAAAAAATCTCACCAAGCTCCAAACCCTGCCTGGCCTGACCCCCCAGCACCCCAAACCCTCAGGGTAACTCATTGCTGCTCACCCGCTTCCGGGACCTGGGGGGAGTCCCATCACTGCTGCAGCAATGGTCCCCCCCCAAATCCTAGCTAGAGCCTCAGCCTCCCCTGGCTCCATGTTAGTGGAGGTGAGGGGGCTGGGGGGGGGGACGTGGGGCTG